TGACTCACATCGATCTCCCCGTCGTCGATCTCCCCGTCGTCGTCCTCCTTCTTCTTCTCCTTGGCCGCCTCCAGGGCTTCCCTCTCTCCAGCGCCCTGGGCCGCTCCGGCCTTGCCCTGCACCCCGGGCGAGCCGTGCCCCTTCTCCTCGTCCTCCTCGGCCCCAGCCTTCTCAGCCTCATCCTCGGGGCCGGGCGGGGCCGGCTCCTCGGGCACCTCCTCGTCGTAGTCGAGCTCGTGCTCGTCCAGCTCCCTGGTGACGGAGGAGGCCTCATCCCTGAGGTCGCTGGTCTGGTCGTCCTCCCCTTCATCCCCACCCTCCCCCGGGGGGCTCGCTGGGCCCCTGCTCAGCTCGTTAGCCTCGGAGTCTTGGTCCTGGGACTTGGGCTCACTGGCCCGGTCCTCGTCATCGGAGCGGTTCTCCTCCTCGCCCTGGCTTGGCACCCCGGCCACATGGTCCTCGTCCTCCAAGTCGGAGGCCCTGCCCCTGGTGCCGTCGGGCTCGGGCTCGGGTTCGGAAGTGCTTTCCCTCAGGATGTCGTCGTCAGAGAGCCCCTGCTGCTCCTCCTCGTCCTCTGGCGAGCGAGGGTCCCGGTCAGGGCTCTCGGCCACATCCATCAGGGCCGTGTTCTGCAAAGAGAAGACAAGAGACAGGGCAGTGAGCCAGAGTGAGCCAGGCGCTGGCCGCCGCCCGGCCTCCCATCCAGGCCTCCAGGTCTCCCGCCTGCGCCAGCTGACAGGACTCCACTCTCTGGCCGCCGAGCCCCTCCCAGCCCACCATCCTTCTGTAGAGAAATGAGAGCCCTGACTGCAGGCCACGGGCCACACTCCATCCACGATGCCACTGCGGCGTGCTCGGCCCGTGCCCCCATCAAGGGCAGCTGGCAGTAGCTGGGAGTGAGCCGGGAACACCGTTCAGATGCTAAAATCACTTCCGACATGCAAGAAACCCTTGCACGGCCCGAGGTGGCGTGGCTGAGGCTGCACCTGGGCCGACCAGAGGGGACAGCGGCAGAAACCTGGGCAGCCTCAGGGTGCCTCTAGGCCTGGAGTTGCACCTGTCCTGAATGTTCTTCTCAGGCACAGCCTCAGACCGCCTGGGCAGACCCTCAGTGCTCTTTATAAACGGCCCCAGCCCGCACCCAGGCCTGTGACCTGGATGGAGTCGCAGTGGTGCTCACAGGCAGGCCTGGCGGGCGCCCTAGTCCGCAGCAGCACCATGTCTGCACTAGGATTGGCTGTGCGGAGCAGCTGGCAGGACAGTCCCCATGTCCAAGGAGCGTGCTTACAGAAGAGACCACGGTGTCCCTTCGAGGGAGGCCATGCCTACTTCCCCCAATCCAGACTTCACTGTGGAATGAGCACATTCTGGGTGTCCCCTCGAGGACTTGCAGAAAGCGCGTGACTCAGTCTGGGAGGCAGACAGCATACGCGGGCGAGGGTGCGCGACGGCCCCACGCCCACGGTCCCTAGGCAGGCATCCCACCACACCAGGCCAGAGCTTAGCTGATCTGGAATAGCAGGAGCTGGGGAAGTCTGGGTCCACCTGCTTCTTCGTTCTGGGAGGAACAGCCCACAGCAGCTGTGCTTGGATTGGCTCAAGATCTCGGCAATAGACCATTCCCCGCCCTGAGACAGCATGGGCGTAGGAGCTGAGTCCCACACTAGATCTCTCTCTCACCTGTTACAGTTATGTGTAACTATGTGCATTTTATGTACTTACAGAAGTTAAAATGTATACTTCTAAAAAAACCTGCTTAAAGACACATGGTATCAAAAGTTGGTGTCTGAAGCTATAGTTAAAAACATTTTCTGGGTCCCAGCAGGTGGTGTGGTGGTTAAGGCACTGTACTCCCACGTGGCGGACCACTGTTGAAGTCCCGACCCAGTGGCTTGAAAATCGCGCTGTGTGCAAATGCGTGTGTGCCCCAAATCCCAGGAGAATAGAGAGGGGACTGCAGCATGGCCATCTCCCCTAGAGGGTGATTTTTCATCCCCCCTCACTGTCTCTCAAGCCAGTATACATACCCTAAGGCAAAAATCTTAAAAAACAGAAACGCACATTTCTTTGCTGTGAATAGAAACTATCTGATTGAGTACACATTCGGACAAATCCCCTGGGACTCACTGCACATTTCTTTTCTAAGGTTGTGCCACAGGGTGCGTGTGTTGACCAGAGGGAGACAGAGGGAAAGTCAGAAGTCACTGCCCAGGGGAGAGTGGCTGTGCCATAGCCCTTCTCCTCCACTCTGATCTTGGGACTTACGGCACACACTCACACACGCCCAGGATGACTTTTTTCAAGCTGCCAGGTCCAGGGCTTGAATAGCAGTTGGCTGAGTAGGAGTCCAACACCGTAACTATACCACCACCTAGAACTCACCTCTTTATAAAAATGAAATGGCTGGGACCAGCAGTTACTGTAATGGCTGTGTCACTGGACTCCCATGTAGTCTACCACGGTTCGAGTCCTGGACCTGGTGGCTTAAACACACGCCGGGCACGTGTGTGTGAGTGCCCAAGATCCCGAGAGGAGAATGGAGGAGAGGGGACTGCAGCGTGGCCATCCCCCCTGGGGGGTGATTTCTCTCTTTCTGTCTCTCTGTCTCTGTCTGTCTGGCGAGCGCACGCGCCCTATAGCAAAACCCTCTCAAAGTGTGCCGGTGGGACGCGTGCGCGTGCACTCTCTGGGGGCCGGTGGGACGCGTGCGCGTGCACTCTCTGGGGGCCGGTGGGACGCGTGCGTGTGCACTCTCTGGGGCCGGTGGGACGCGTGCGCGTGCACTCTCTGGGGGCCGGTGGGACGCGTGCGTGTGCACTCTCTGGGGCCGGTGGGACGCGTGCGCGTGCACTCTCTGGGGGCTGGTGGGACGTGTGCGCGTGCACTCTCTGCAGAGGACACCAGTACCTTCCCAGCACCATCTTTATCATGGCCTGTCTTCTTTGGGTAGGGACAGGGACTCTATCCTAGCAGCCCAAGCATGCACCTGGCACCCAGCAGGAAGCTGGTCACACTGATCTGGTGGGTGGTCTCTCAGTCCCTGACTTGAAACCAGCTCAGCTTCAATTCTCAGGTCAAACGATAACCTTGGAAACCAAGTTACTGCTTCAACCAACCAACTGTTCCGCAAAACTACTAGCCCTTCGAACTCCTTTTAAAAATCCCACAGGTGATACCCTGCAGCACACACGCCCAGTCTGCCAGCAGCTCCGTGCCAGGCCTGGCACACTCTCACAACTCGGTATGACTGCCCTGCAGCCCAGGCACACGCTGGTCTGCACTGTGGTTTCACTGTCGTGTCTGGGCCCGACCGATCTGTTACCAATGTCTGCAAATTTGAAATCCCAGGGTAAAGACGGAAGGAAAAGAGCGCCCCCACCCCCCAAACCTGATGAACACAGGCTGCGGTCAGCACATAGGAGGCTGCGGCCACGGCCACTTCCAGCCTGGGCCACGCGGGCAGTGTTTTCACCCCCAGTGCCTCTGCTTTCTGGGTTAGGGTCTTGGGCAAGTTCTGTAACCTTGCCGGGCCTCGGTTTTTCATCCAAATTGTGAGGACCGCGGTGTCCACTGATGAGGACAGTGTTTGATGAAATACCTGTGACGACGGGTCTGGCTGGCGTGCCCCGGATGGAACTTACCCTGTACTGCACTAAGGTGAAGACAAGTGCAGGTCGTCTTCAACTCATAAAAGGTACACACCTGGGCCAGCCAGATGGTGTAGAGGGCAAGGCGGCTGGATGCCACATGGCTGACTGAGTGGTTTGAGTCCTGGACCCAGCAATTTGAAAAATATGACGGGGGTGGGGGAGCAGGTGGAATGGTGGTTAAGGGTGCCAGAGCCCCACATGGCCAACCGCAATCTGAGTCCTAGACCTGGCGGCTTGCTTTCTCACTTACTCTTTCTCTCTCTCACACTTTGTCCCTCTCGAGTTAAACAAATAAACAAATAAATAAAGTTAATTAAAAGAATTCCTTTTTTTAAAAAGAGGTTTTTACTATAGGGCACCTGCACTCGCCAGAAAGACAGTGAGAGACAGAGAGACTGAAAGCGAGAAATCACCCCCCCAGGGGTGATGGCCACACTGCAATCCCTCCTCCTCCATTCTCCTCTTGAGATCTTAGGCACGCACGCACACGCACCCAGCGTGAGTTTAAGACACCAGGTCCGGGACTTGAACCGCAGTCAGCTACATGGGAGTTCAGCGACAGCCATTATGCTAACTGCTGGTCCCAATAAAATAATTCTTAAAAAGAAAAAAAGGAAAAGAAAAGAAAAACACGACAGGGGCATGTACATGCATGCCCAGAAAGAATCCTGAAAGGAGAGTGGAGAGGGGACTGCTGTGTGATGGCCCCCTCAGGGGTGCTCCCCCACCCCACCCCCGTGTTCTTCTCTGGTGAGTAAATGTGCCCCACAGCAAAAACTAAGTACATGGAGAGCACGACTCCGCGGGGCTCAGCTCAAGTCTCCCGGAGAACTCAGGAGTAACTTACTGCTCACTTAACGAGCGCCCCGGAATGATCCTCGCTTCCCACGACAGTGCATGCACTGCACGACTCTGGGATAACCAGTGGCCGCTGCTCAGACTGCTGTCAGGCGCTCCCTTCCACTCAGCACGGCTCCCTTTCGCGGAGATGGAAACCGAGGTCACGTGGCTACCAGCTGGGCCTGCAGAGCCTGACCACAGCTCGGACCTGCTTCCAGAGTGTGCCCTGGAACACAGCACCCAGCTACGGGGGGGTGAGCTTCTGCACCCCGACCCGTCCCCATTTCTAGTCACGGTTTCCACCGGGAAAGGGGAACCCAAATTCCAAACTTATTTCCCACATTTTCTCGGAACACAGCCTATGCTAAATGGGAGTGTCCTATTAAACCAACAGGTTTTGTGTACTTTTATATGCTGTTCCAAATCTGCTCTACTCCTGTGTCAGTCCTGCTAGAACTAAAAACACATTTCCACGCAGACGGGCAAGCTATGGCATGACTCATGTGGACCACTAGTTAAAGGGCAGCGGTCACCAAAAGGAGAGTCAGCTGGTGAGTCTCTTATGACCTGTACCCGTGTCTGAAGCTCAAACATCTGGCTCATGAACTAACGAGTCCAACAGATGAAACTCATGGGGGGGACACCACCCTTACACAGAGGACAAGAGATACTGATGAAAATCAAAATCCCAAGACTGGCGGCTCGTGCCAGGGAAAAGGATCCCAAGAAGCACACACCTGGGTGCACAGGCAGCCGGCCGAGAAGGCAGTCGACTCCTGACTCCTGAAGGCAATGTTCAGAGCTCACCAGGTCAACGACCTGAGGGGAGTGGTGCTAAGGGCACCTGGCACCACCCAAGGCTGTCCCCTTTTCTATGCCAGTGGAGACTTTTAGGGATCACAGGCTGCTCTGAGACTCTGAGGAAAGGCATGGCTACTCTCCCTAGGAAAGCCTGATCACACACACCTCATCTTACACGTTGGGGTTCAGTATATCCTGAGGGCCACAGATGGTCCCTACTCAAGAACTCCTGCCTCTGCGTACCGCACACGACCCCACTCAGCACGCCGTGTTCCAACTCTGCAGGTCTGCTGGGAGCCCCCACCCACACATAGCCCGGGCCGGATGGCAGAGGCTCA